AAAAGAAAAAAAAATGGGAAAAAAATCCTTTTTTTTTTTTTTTTTTTTTTACCGAGCATAATAATAATAATTTTATGTATAATTTTTGCCGTTAAAATTTTATTTAATTACGAATTAATTTTAGTTAAAAAAAAAAAAATTATTTTATACAAATAATTAGAAAAAATTTTTTTTGTAACGTTAATTTAATAATCGATTTGAAAAAAAATGAATTAAACAAAAAAATATTTTTATTAAAATAATGTAAATTTTTTTATATATAAATATAAATGAGTTTTTAAAAAAACCTTTTGATGAGAATGATAGGCTTTTTGAAAAAGTTTTTATGAAAAGCTCATTGGAAAATTTAAAAAAAAAAAAAAAATTGTCGTTAAATTTAAAAAAAAAATTAACGTTAAACTAATTAAAAGTATCTAATTATTACAATGATCATCATATATTTCGTAATCAAAAGCACGATAATCTTTTTTTTTTTTTTTTACTTTTTATTAGACCATTTTAACAAGATTTAATGAACTTTATTAAGGGATTTTTTTTTTTTTTTCTTTTAATTTTTGAACGTTAATAAAAAAAATTATTAAATCCAAAATTTTTTTAGACTTTAATGTTATCTTATTTGTGAATTCTTTAAATAAATACATGTACCTATTCTTTTTTTTTAAAAGTATTTATTTTTGAAAAGAAGAAAATTAAGTTACATAAAATCTTATTGGAAAAAAAAAAAAAAAAAAAAAAAAAAAACTCTAGAAAAATTTTCACTTTTCTTTCTTTTTTCAAAAAAATAATTGACTTAGTTATTGATTTTATTTAATAAAACAAACACGTGATTTTATTTTAAAGTAAAAATTTAAATTTTGAAAAATAATATTGCGTACGATACATTTAAAAGAAACTCATTTTTTTTTTTTTTTGCAATAAAGTGTACCTTGAAGTTTATTTACCGAAATACTAATATTAATACGTGAATGTACGACAAATTGCATACGTGACAAAATGTAGGTGTTGCGATTTGAATTTTTTTTTTTTTTTAACGAGGTAAATTATATTGATTTTTTTTTCTCATTATTAATTAATTAATAAGTAATTTTTAATCAAACAATGGATTTTTTTTTTACAAAATTTCACACGGTTAAGAAATATAGGTGAAAAAATTGAAATTTTTAAAAGGTCAGAGGTGAAAAATGTTGAAATAATATATATATTAAATATATGAATATTTTTCTCATTAAAAATTCAAAACATTTTTTTATTTTTAATATGATAAAGTAGATATAAATATTTTGATACACTTTTGGAAGGAAGAAACTTTATTAAAAATTTTACATAATTGACTAAACATTTTTATTAACCTTTTGAATACTTTTATTTTCAAATAACAGATAAAAGTGATTTATTATAATTTAACAAAAAAAAAAAAAAAAGAAAAAAGAAAAATGAAATTAAAATTAATTTTGTAAAGACAATAATAACATCAGAGTTTTATTAATATAAATTAAAATAAATAAAATATAATAATATACATAATATTAAATAATAAATAATAAATTATAAAGTTATATATATATTTTGTGAAGTTTACACCTGCTTGGCTTATACTTACATACACAGTTCCTCGTCTTAATCTCCTACGTTAGGGCGATGACTCATTTACTTTTAACGGTGGTGTACCTATATAACCAGAAAGAGAGAGAAAGAGAGAGAGAGAGAGAGAAGAGAAGAGAACCAAACCAAGAAGTTATCTTGTCCAACGGCCTACCATCGGAACCCGTTGGCTTCTTGCTGGCAATCCAAGTTTTGGCCAACCAAGTACCGTTGTTGTGAATCTCACCTGGAGTGGCCCTCGATATTAGCTCGATCAGTGCTCGAACGAAGCTTCACCTGTGAACGTGATACCACACACACAAATTAATCAGTTTCGTTGTTTTTCTTTTTTTAGTATTATTATTATTATTTATATATAAAGAAAATCAAAACAAAACAAAACTTTTTTCTTCTTCTTTTTTTCATTTGTTAAGGATAAAAATTAATTTTTTTAAAAAAAAAAAAAGTGTGATTTGATCCAATTTCGAATTAACTTAAGTTTATTTAAAATTTTCTAAAAATTTGTTATCATATTGAAAAGTTAGTATACATATATTTTGGAATAAAAAAAAAAAAAAA